TTAGGTAGCATTCAGCAGCCATAAACAATCGTTTTTATTCCTCATGATACGTCTCAGTCTCTCAACGGATATACTCCAATAATGTTACGCAGTGGCCGATACAATACACAAAAGCACAGTCATCTGATAACTCCCTCACGTGACGTGTGCATGCTGATCGGGCCGAAGACAACCTCCGATTTGGGGGAGTAAGCCGAGCTAATTCCTTTTGTGTTACGAGTTTCGAGTTTCTAAATAGTTGCTGAGCCATTCCAATTTTTCTCCAATCACTGGAGTTATTTAATTTTTTTAGTAGCGATGCTTGTGGAAGAGGCGCCCCTTAAACATTTTTTTGACATTTTTAAAATAGAATCGATGATGGCGCTAACATTTATTTGAAGAAAACATTTTTGATCTTTTCCAGATAAGCCCCGCCAAAAAATTAACCCTCGCCACCCAAAAAAGATTCGAAAAAAGAGGATATGAAATTTGTAATTTTAGTTTTTATTGAAGATTGACATGTTATTAATAATTTGCATGAAAAGGTCAGTTTTTCGGTACCTTTGCCTCCAAACGAACTCACACAAGTAGCTGTCCACTAAAGATCGGTGTGTGCCGCGTTGGCGTTTATTCTTTACCTTGAATGTGCGAATGACTTACGAAACAAGAAAAAGGAACTAAACTGAGGAACTCAGTGCAACGCTGTCCGTTCAGCACAACAAGCAAGAACACAACGGGCAGTCAGTCTCCGCAACTTCGCAAACCATCATTTTTGATTGGTTCAAATAACACGAACATTGTTCAAGTTTTGTATGGTATTTTGTCTTTACCGTGAAATTCATGAATGATGTTCACACTGTAAATACCCATTTTATGCTACTGGGAGAAATATTTCAGTTAATTGAGCGTACCTTTTTACGTTTATCCTCCCTTTTATTCCCCCGTGGTCCCTCATTTCACTCACTTTATCACTAACCGCTGACATTATTATTGAGAGGAAATTACGAAAAAAACAGCTTGTTCGACAAAGCACTTTGTTACATTCCATTAGTGGGTTTTCTTATGAGAAGCAGCCGAACTCGAAACCCTATCGGGCATTGTGTGTTCAGCTCACAAACATACAACCTGCCTAGTCTTCTAACGGAACTGATCTGGCAGTGATCATAGGAACATTGGATGCACGCAGGAATTTGATAAATGAGATGCATTTTTGTTACTCAATCACTATTGTCTGTATTTCATTTACATGAGCCAGTTATCGGAGTGAGAAAAATACCGTTCGATTTTTCACACCTGTACCGTGTAGAATTCTCGATGGTGATGCAGTACCGGCCCGCGAGTGGTACAGTAAAACATGATACCGTATAATAGGATTAGTTTGTAAACGGTCTATAGAACTGGTACTAACCTAATCACGATTGGTATACGCATTTCAACAGAAATTCTGAATCGGAGGGGGATAGGGGTAAGGATACGTTGGCTGTGGATTTATTTACTCGAGAATTTAGCGGCCAACAGTCAATATTCGGCTCTCATTTCAATTCTGACGAAGACGATGTTTGCGAGTTGATATTGACAAGAACTTCCCGGTAGATCCTGAAAAGTATGTCCATAATTTTTTGATTACAATGCTGTTCGAGATTTTTCCTATAGGCTTTCTAATCCTGTTTGTTACGTGTCTGTGCTACTTCATTTAGAAAAGACAATGAGAGGATGCTACCCATATGAAGGTGTGTCAATTTTTAGTCCTTGAACTCATTAGAAAGCAAACAGATAAGAGCTAGGGAGGAAGTATCGTGGGTAATTACTCACTAACTGTCCATAGATTGCCTAATCACTAAGTAAGTTGATTGATAACCGACCAATATTCGTATCCCCATTCCGACACATGAAACATTCATTCCTGGGGCTGAAGTTCTCGGACCAGATGGATCAGACACACTCAATTGGTCTCATCTGTTGCCAGCATACAAAAGGTAGCAGACCCTTTTGCTCCTTGACAGTTTACTGCAACAGTCGTAAGTTTCTGATCGGCTGAATGAACTGAACATTGTGCAACAAAGTGCACTCTGGAGAATCCTGTTTTATGGAAGACCTTATTTTCACTGGCTTGCGCAATATGATTGTTTTCTCTAACTTTCACTCCAATGAAAATGTTTTCACTTTAACTCAGCCGGGGTTCCAAGTTCAGTACCTACTTCTTGCTCGTGACATTTTGAGCAACCGTTGCACCATACGTACCCTATCAAGTTGCAACTTACATTTTTANCTGTGACCTTAACCGACGACGACTCAGCACCTTTGAAAGAGAACACTTTCGTTACATGAGACGACGGATATGAAGCAGATTTCGTTCACAAACCCGCTCCCATTTAAAACTCTCGACGAGAATTTTAAAATGAATACCAGTTGCTATCGGTTCGCTGATTTTGTGGATATCACGTCCGCCTCACATGCGGAGGGCTCCTGGTTGGATCCCGAACTGAGCCAGTCTCTTAAACTGAATATTTTACAATTGTGTATTCAAAATAAGAAATTAAAAAGATTATTATTATGGTTTTGTAAATGTCTTCCAGTTTATTCCCCGTGTCTTTGTAGTTAAGTCGATATTTTAGTCTCAGCCTGCCATTGGTGGTACAATGCCGTGTCACTCCCTGGAAATGAGTATTTCTGTTTTCATGGGCAAAATTTTGAATCTTCTCCAGATAAGCCCCGCCACTAATGCAAAAGTGCATGCGCGAAAAGTTAAGCCCCATCACTTTTTGCACACAACCTTGACCTATTTTTGACGAAAACAATTCCTTTTCTGCATCTAGGCTCATTTTGTGCAGGACTTTTCTCCGTTCGGACGTAAAACGTTAAATGAACTTTCTGACGCTTTCGACTCTCGTTCATGACAAGGAGACGGCAATACGTTTTTTGCAAAGACATGGAATAATCCATCAGCAACGTTTATGCAACAATGGCCACCAAATGACACTTTCAACTGTTTCTGACAGTTGGAGGTGTAATGCCCGACAGTATCGGCAAGAAATCGATCTTCGAAAGGGAACTTGGCTGGAGCGGTCCAGCATGGAGTTTAGGACAATAATTCTATTCACTTAATACTGGTCCAAAAATTTGGCAAAAATCAAATCAAAGGAATTATTTTTTAGTCACACGACCGCTGTTGACTGGAAGAACTCTTTTCGCGAAGTTTGCGTCTGGCGGTTTTTGCAGACTCCAACAGTTATCGCCGGCCCAGGTCTACACGTCGAGATCCATGAAGCGCCAAAATCTCGTCGTAAAAACCACGCAGCGCGAGTCCTTCCCCAGCAGTGGATTTTCGGAGAGTTCTGAAGGGACACTAAAGAGGTGTTCATGTATGCAGTCCCAGATCGAACTGCGGCCACTTTGATAGATACAATCCAGGCCTGCATTGCTCCCAACTCAATCATCATCTCCGATATGTGGGCATCATACCAAGGAATTGAAACAATGATTGACATCAATTATACTCATTAAACGGTTAATCATACCGAAAACTTTGTGGATCCAACGACTGGAGCTCACACACAAACCATCGAATCTCTTTGGCACGTCTACAAGATGCAGAATAAACGCCAACGCGGCACACACCGATCTTTAGTGGACAGCTACTTGTGTGAGTTCGTTTGGAGGCAAAGGTACCGAAAAACTGACCTTTTCATGCAAATTATTAATAACATGTCAATCTTCAATAAAAACTAAAATTACAAATTTCATATCCTCTTTTTTCGAATCTTTTTTGGGTGGCGAGGGTTAATTTTTTGGCGGGGTTTATCTGGAACAGATCTAAGGAAAGGGTAAGAGAGGATGAGAGAGAGAAAGGTTGAGGGCGAAATCACAGATCTACTGNGATCTACTGAAGGCGCTAGAGTTACAGGGGCACATATACAATGCTGCACCCGAGAGACTGAGACCATGTGGATCCACTATCCCGCCGTTGTATGATCTCCGTTAGATCCACAAAGAAACAGTTCCAATACGACCTAATATGGCAATGGTGAATTCACCATATCACACAACGGCGCAGTGGTTGGTTGAATTACTAGAACCCACCCGTCGGAAACTCGCCACACACGGTCTCCGAGACAGTTTCCAGTTTGTAGCTAAGATAGAAGACCTGGATCTGAAGAAAAGACGATGTTTTCCTTGGATGTCGTCTCACTGTTCACTAACGCACCCCTGCTGGAGACAGTGGAATTCATCTGTGATCAACTAAAAACACTGAATTTAGACGTTGGCAATCCTGTCATTAATCTAAAGGAACTGTTATTACGCTGCAAACGTAACGTCCAGTTTCTATTTGATGGTACTATCTATCGTCAGATGGACGGGGTTGCCATGTGATCGCCACTTGGTCCGTTGCTTGCTGACATCTTCATGGCTAAATTAGAACGGAGCACGCTGAGCCGAACTATTGAAGGATAAGCACACTGAAGTAAATATATGGATTGATATCTTCTGTGACCGACCGCAAAAATTGCATTCTACAGACACTGAAACCGTTTACCAACGCACATCCATCACTGGAATTCACTGTAGAGGTTAAAACGAACAACATATTGAACTTTCTGGATGTAGCCGTGTCCAGGAAAGAAGATGGATCAGTAAGAAGACAGATCCACAGAAAGAAAACATGGAATGGCCAATATACCAACTTCCATAGTTTCGTTCTTGTGAAATATAAACGCAACTCAGTCCGGTGTCTAGCCTTCAGAGCCCGGAAGACTTGTTCAGCAGACACACTGGATAAAGAACTACACTTCATCCGCCAAACGCTGCAGGACAATTGTTACCCGGAAAATTTCATCGATAAGAACATTCAACTCAGTTCGGAGAACGAAAACTCCACCTGTGTCCCCAAGAAAGAACTATTCATAAGAATCCCATTTATGGGGGACTCACACACAGAGAGCCTAGTCCAATCACTGAGAGTGGCTGTGAATTCCACTTTCCCAGCAGCCCAATTCAAACCAGTGTTCTCTACATCGCCGGTGATGCGAATGCAGGTGAAAGACAAACTGCCGAAGCTGACCTCGTCCACGATAATTTACTCTTTTAAGTGAGTCTGTGGCGCATGCTATATAGGTCGTACGGTAAGGCGTTTGTCTCAACGTGTTAAGGAGCNGAAGCTGACCTCGTCCACGATAATTTACTCTTTTAAGTGCGTCTGTGGCGCATGTTACATAGGTCGTACGGTAAGGCGTTTGTCTCAGCGCGTTAAGGATCACCACCCGCGATGGCTAAGTCAGGGGAAGACTGCCTGTATCTCAAGCGCGATCGTGGGGCAGCTCATTGACACCAGGCACAAGATCGAACCGGAGCACGCTTTCGATATTGTTTATCGTATCCCACTCAATCGATAGAGTTTGGGCACTGACCATGGCCGAAGTGATCGCCATTCGTTTACTAGGCCCTAACCTGTGTGCCCAAAATCGACTTGTGCAGGAGCTCCAATTGCCTTGGCCGGGTGTGAAAACCAAGGTAGAACATGACGTGTCACTTGACCCATGTGGGGGAAAGTCACAGCAACCAACACGCTAAACATTCCTACACGCACCCACGCACGGATACACTCCCACTGACCTCTACCTGCGATTAATGACCTTAAATTGAGCTAATGGCTATCACTATGTCAGAAATTTTTCCACTATATGATACGTACGAGCATGACTAGGAATATCCGAAAACAATTTTTTGCTCAGCGACTGGTTATTCCTTTCAGATTTATAAATATTTGAATCGAGTGTTAGACACATGTCCATATTAGTGAGGTACTGTGCATTGGTTTTCACATCAATCGTAAATGTGAATGCCAATAAAAGGTCTTTTTCATTTATTGATTTCCTTTATTCTCGGTCAAAACCCGTTAGATCACCAATAGGCTCACTGAAAAGACGCTTTTAGTGATGATTTTCAGCTCTACATCCCCCTGGCTCCAGGTACGCTAGTGGCAGGTAGTTACATCATTTCTATACCGTCATAGATCAGTAAAATCAAGCACGATGCGTACATCGTAAAGATCTGGATCCGCATGCATGGGCGTGTTCATTGTAAAAGGTTCTACTTCTCTACCATATATGGAAAATTTCCTTGTTGAACTAGTAAAACATTTTGTCAACTATGAAACTGATAACTCATTGGTGAATTCCTTAATTTAGGAATGAGCTGAGTAACTAAAGGTTCAATTTGCTGTTTGTTACCAGAAGTTACCTGGGAACTGTTTTTATTTCTGCGTAATCAATTTGATTGCTTTCCTCCCTTGCGTCCATAGATAAGCACTTTATTTGATTGATTAAATCGAAATTTTGCGTGCATTTAGATAAAAAAGTATACGATCGAATTCTGATTTATTCGCACTTATTTGGCCAGCGGATTATGGAACAGACTGGAAATAAATATTTCCTCAAAATTCCTATGCAGCTGTATCCCGAGAGCTTTTTAATGCTCTTTTTCTGAATTTCCATTTCCGAGAGAGAAACTTTGAAAGCGAGAGTGTTTTCAGACTACACTTCTTGGGCAACTGTTTTGTTTAATTATACACTACTTCCTGATGAACATTAGAATTGGGGACTCCATATCTCCAAATTATCCTGTTCAATTACAGGAAGCAAGAAAGTAAATCCCAAGGATTGAAACTGATTTATAACACAACGCCAACATGGGTGACACAATTTTGAACCGAACAGCCAAACTGATTGTCACCGAAGTTGCCCGTTCGGTTGGAGGTTTGAATGTCGTGTTTATCGTTCACTGGTTCACTGATTTGTAGAAAAAAGATCCTCAAGTCTACTGTCCTTGTGTGTGTCACGCGGATCGTCAGGGCTTGTTTGTTGTTTACCTCTTCCCCTCTTCCGTCTTACCTCTTCTTAAAATATAACTATGGCATCCTAAAATTTTCAAATGCATTAATCAAAGAATTATTATAGGGATAGCTTACAATCTCATGCTTTTCTCGTCCCATAGATTTGTGTTGCGCTTAAAAGACAGTGATACATACAATTCCTGGTGTAAAATGTCACATGATACGGGATTCTTTCACTGCTGCACGCAGTTTCACTTATGTTGTAATGCAAGGTGTGAAATGTTTCATCGAGTCTCAGTTTGAAAGATTCAATGCTTGGAGCACAGACGACGTTTGGTTGGAGGGAATTCCTGATCGAACGTATTCTGACTGAGAATGGCTGACGCCGGCATTCCAAGCGGCATTTTGAGACCACTAGTTTTAATGGATGTCCTCTAAGATGGATGTTGGGTGAACGTGAAAGCAACGTTTTTTTATAGGTTCAAAATATTCTCCTGATGATTTGAATGATATCTTTTCAGTGCAACTTTGTGCTTTATGAGAGACAGCGATACATTCGCGAACCAAAGCACAGTCCGAGGAGGAAATTAAATAAATTGCTTGGACTCTTGTTTCATCCCAACGTTCACATAGGTCCTATCTGCGGCAAGGACTCAAACAACAGATGTTGGACAAGGCAAAACGAACGAAAGAAACGGATAAGCTCAAATCTATGGGTATGTGCCTTTTGTCGGCTCAGTATTTGAACTCATTCATTCACTGACTTTCAGAAGCCAAACAAGTGGAAGAATTGTGTCGAAAAATGGACGAAAAAGCTGAAATGGCTCGTACAACGAAACGGGAGTTTCTGGTCAAATTTCGTGATGCAAACAAGGAAGTAAGTCCTTCCCCGAATAAACACAGAGTGAGCAGTGCATATGACGGAAAAAAGAAAGTCAGAACGATAATATGGAGTTAGGCTGTCTAATTTTGTTTCGCAGCGTAACCATTTTCAATATTTACTGTCTTGCTTAAGTATTTGTTTTATCGCGGGAGTCACCGGTATTAGGTGTAGCATTCATGCATCACGTAGTCACCAAACTCGGGTACTGCTTCAAGGTCAGCTGGGAAAGTTAGCGAAACGAAGGGTCCAGATCTTGCTAGGGCACAGCAAATAATGTGAGCTGTACCGTTGAACGGTGTAGATATTAATTCTAGGACACAAGCGTGGCTTTCCGCAGATTATTTCATTGCTGCTTGTAGATGCTCACACACACAGAACGGAAAGAGACTGTGTGCATGTGTTTGCTTGTGTACCAGATTTGGCTTCCAGCTACCAGAAGAGCTAAATTCCGATTTGTGTCTTAATAAATGATTATTTATGTTTCCCAGAAATGATGTATACGGTGCTCATCCGTTCCTTTGGAGATAAGATGTCCAGACCGTACCAAAAGTTGCCGAATGGCAACCTGATTTTTCTGTGCACGTGATCATCGCGTATTCAATAGGACCACCGTTTTCTATTTCAGCGCATTGAATGTTTTTACTTCCTTTTATTGAATACGCAAATGGGCTGCAGTCATTTATACACCATCTGGAAACATAGCAGGGCAGAGTTAGGCGGTGGGATTCGAACCCAGACTGTTTGTGGCGATAAGCTTTAAACTTTATCGTTTGGCCAAGACCAACACGACGTGAATAAAGACGTTGATCACAACTAGCTCATCACCAAGAATCTGATTCGAAGGAACGAAGTTTCCCTAGGCTTTGAACTTTGGTGGTTGCTCGAGCAATTTCACCCAACAAGAATATACCACCGATTCACTTCAAGTAAAAACCTCGGATCCACAGGCAAAGCTCCATTTCATTGTAGGTCAGTCTAAAGAAATATATTTCTAGGGGATCATGCGACGAAGTTTGCTGGGAACAAGATGCATGGTAGATTTGATGGACCCTGGTGGAGACGGCAAATGACGGTGGACTGTGCCCATTTGATCTTATTTAATCCAATGTGTGCTAATGAGGAGCTCTGAGAAAATAAAAAAGATTCTGTGTTGTCGTAATCCCCCAAAAGCATTTTCTCAAAAAAGACCTCAACCGAGTTGAATTTTGCTCCTATTTCAAGAAATACTACGATAAATTTAAGCTGCAGTTACGTATGATTAGCCGTGTGGAATCGGTGACATTCATTTCGACAGACCATTTATGAGATTTCATCTTCACGGACAATCCTCAGTTCATCCAGTCAACCACGCACTCATATCTATAGTTTTGCTCTCAGTAGAGCTCATCAGTGTTGCAAATCCATAGTCCCGCCTGGATACGAAACTCCAAACACGCCGCACAGAAAGAGTTATTGTCATCACTGTGTCAAGTATATAGCTTTCTGGATGAAATGGGGATTGTAAAGCTGAAGTCAGGAAGATAGTCAATCCAAATCAGTACTGAGACAATTGCTGTTTAGCACACCTGATGATGCCTAAGTATCTGCAGGAGAGTAAATATCTGAATAGCACATTCCGAATCGGTGCCAAAAAATCCTCTAACTCTCCAGTTATTTATTTACCTTTTTCGATGAATCCGCAGACAGGGCACTGATGCTAAAAGCTTTGGTGCCACTTTTATTAGTCTTTGCACCCTATTAACTTATGCAGTCATTGCACGAGACCATTCTCAGGATAGGGATAGTCATAGCTTTCTTGCGAGAAAAAGTGGCTGTCTGAGCAGTACAGAAAAACATTGATAGTTCTCTTAACGAGCGAGTTTCACCCTCTTTAATTAGGGTTGAGGAAAGGGTATTATAATCCAGCATTGTGTGAAGTTGATTCTGTTTGGTCAGACTACGGGGCGCGCGTATTCAAAATATGTTAGTGACTGGACACAAAAGACTCGTTGGTAAGAGCCTCAAAGTGATCTTCCCTGCTTTCAAGGCGTCTTTATTAGCTGCATGTAACGTTGTTCAATTATTTACAACGTAAAAGCTCCTTTCATTTTAGATGCAGATTCAACCCGTCAGAATATATACTGCCCAAAAATCCTCGATAAGCTCTTGGGAAGAAGTACAAGGGTTTTCACTGCAAAGCATTTCCGTTATCAAACTAAAGAGAATCGTAACCGAAAGTCCTCGCAGACGCGCTTTGTACGACAACAACAGACCTGTGCTAGCATTTGCATCTTTATAGAAGATGACGTTATCGTTTTAATGCAGAAGGTTATGAGGTTTGAGATAAACACAGTGGTTCGATGCATGGGAGCTGTAATTAATTTTCTAGCCTGAACATACAGGNAGCTTGCCTGCAAGAAGCGGATTCACTTGATAGACTCCTTCCGGTCTTTTCACGCACAACCTATCTGGCAGAATCCAGTTTATCAGCGCGGCTCCACCCCTCGCACACAGAAATTCGGAAAGGCACAAGTACATTTTAGCATAAGGACAGCCGGAGTAAAATTTGGAATGTGAGTACCTTGGACGAAGCAAATTTCCACAGCTATTGATCAAACTCGCGCAACACCCTGACTTTCATCACATTTTTTTCCTCACAACGCTTAGTATTGAGAATCGAATTCACGGGATTAAATATGGTATGCCCCAAGACAACCCAACATATATGTAACAATATTCGCCTCTGACGTTGCGTCTTTTTTAGTCAAATAACAATAGAGTGTACGATTTCTCAATTTGGACAACGGTTGCTGGTGCATCAGTTCAAAAATAATAAAGCCTCAAGCAATAATAATTTATATATAAAAATGACTCGTGCGCCACATACAAGTGCTACGAGGTACTAATCACATTGGTGAGTGGTGTGGTTAAATTGCGCAAAGGAATGTGATGGGCGGTTTTCAACGGTCAAAAATCAACAAGACTCCGTTGAACGCATTGCGGTGCTCAAAACGATAACTCCGGACTGGTCCATTCATTATCTTTTCCTGCTGGGAATTTTGATGGCATGTTCCAAATGAAACGTCTTGTTATACGCCAATTTATCTATAGCTTAACTGTGGTCCGTAATAAACAATTCTCCTCAGGGCGGCACTGATCTTTTGGGAGCATAACACAAGTATGCTATATCCATTTTGTCAATGTTCTATTTGCCATTCTTTATTTTTGAGTACTGAACGTAGACATTTGTCAGTTTCCTCTAACACACGCTACACCCTGGCCATTGACGACCACTCTCGAGTTAGCTAACTTACCCCTGTTTCTAACACGGATAATTTTTTCGATTAAATTCAAAGTCCAACAGCTTGGCGGTAATTGAATGAATTCGACATTGAACTTGTCCCATTCAGAAACTACTCCTCTCGGATAACTTGTCTCGGCTTCAAATATATGCTATAAATTCTTGGGTCCTTCATCCGGTTTGGGCATGGTGACACTAAAAGACGCTTATTCAACGCGCCGCACACCTTAGAGTATTATTTCGAAGTGGAGTTTTGATAGCCAACCTCTTGGTTGATGGAAAAGTAACCTATGCAGATAAATCACGCGTGATCTATTAGAACCACTTCAGTTAAATTGCAAGGTTTAGAGGCTTTATCGGTGGAAAAAACCCACCGAATTTGAGAAAACTTCGCATTGCTTAATGATTCGGTGTACACTAGAATAACTGTCAGCATGGAAGAAGAAGTTTTCCTAAATCTGACAGTTAGACGTCACTTATGGCGGAATAGCAGAGCCTGTAGTAACCAAGCGCTTTTGATCAATGGTTCTTACTTACATCACTCCATCGCAGTGCATTGTCATGATAATAGAGAATACTTCTTTAAGGTGGAAGTTATTCTCTGTTGACTTATATATGAATCTGCATGTTTTTTATTTTATCTCATTAGAAGGAATATATGAAGAGAGGTTTATGCCGCGGCCAAAAGATTTCAGTGTGATGTCAGAAATCCTCAATCTGAAGGTATTATTCTGACATTTAGGAAAGCGGTAATGCGATAAGCACAATGTTAAACTGAAGGAAAGCATCAAAGCCTCACAGAAAAATAGCTGATTCTAGCCGACCTAAATGGAGTGCTCCACTCAACCAAACCGCGATAAATTCAAAGAAAATGTCAACCAATTCAAAGCGAAAGAAAAGAAGCCAATCCTGATCAAGTCCATTTTGAAATAACAACCAGTTCACTTTTTTTCACTAAATCAGTTAAAATAACCTGAATATCTCGTGTTCCCCCGCTCTCACGGTATACCTCGAATGTTACAGCTGATAGAACAACGGGAACAATTGCGAAAATCGGAGCGAAGGGACATGGTCTCGCTCGAACGTTTCCAGCTTCAGTTCAACCCTATCAATTGGAGCTGTACGCTCAAGTGATCAGCTATCCACGTGATCCCAAAGCCACACAATTGCACCCAATCCGGGAGACGTGTATTNGGCCCCCCCCCCCCCACATATCCATTGATTTATGAAATTATCCTTCTTTCTGTGTTTCCGTACTCTTTCTGACCTATCAGACAAATATACGCAGATCGGAAAAGATTTAATTCAGTTTTATATTGTACTAGTTAAAGAACATCACAACGTGCACTTTTCAAAGCGCAGGCTGGCCGTAGTCATACGTTTGAGTAAAGAACAAAGAGTCAACCCCGGGGAGCGTGGAGGAGTAAATTCGCAATAAAGGTGCAAATCACCAAACTAGCACAGTTTCACAGATACAAGCGCACGGCCAGCCGCTTGAAAGACGATAAAACAGACAGACCAAATGCTGAAAAGTTGTTTGATTTCAAAATAGGAGAAGGAAATTTGTTTTCTCGCCGTATTCGAGCAATTTCATCATAATTACTTAATCTTACTGATCATCAATTGGTCACTTTCATTGTTGGGAACTGAAAAGTCGTTCACAGATTGGTTCTACATACCTAGACAGACAGATTACTGCTCGTTAGCGAATCAAATGGCTTTGTTTGCTAAATGGATACTAGTGAATGTGAAGTCCATATGAAAAGGCGGATAATAAGCGTTTCTCTATTCATGGCCACGCATTGCTTCTGATTCGGTCATCAGAAACAAGGTGACATTAAGCTAATGCACTTTTTATTGGCCTGTATTATTAGTACACGCATCTGCATGGCGAGCGCAAATGAGCAATAAAACAGGTGGAATTCAAACGAACAATCCTCTTATTGTTTTACGTTCCCCACATTAACACAATGTAGAGGACTAATAGGGAGAGGTAAGAAAATTCGAGCGGTAGCGGTCGGACTAGACCAATTCGAATCATGAATCAGTGATGCCCCAGCCGATCAGATACCCATCCAACCGACTACACTATGTACTTCTGGTACTGCCCTCGCGGTGAGCCTGTAGTCGGAGTAGACACGAACGACGATCGCAAGCGAAACACGGAATATCATGCCATAATCTCCTGTCACCGAGAGGGAGTGGTTAGTTTATTAGAAGAAATCGACCGGATTAAATAAGTACAGAGAAATATCGCCTAACGTATAATCAAATATCGAGAGGAGAGAAAGGCGTCCACACAAACGTCGCCCGCAAAATACACATACGGGGGAAGTTGAGCGGCTCTGGTGGGGTCCGAAGTCAGGACCTTCAGGTTGCTATTTTTATGACCTTAGCCACTGGAACAACGCCACACTTTCGACTGAACGGAGCCGTGCCGCATTTTATTTTGATCACATTAGTCCAGTTGTTCATCCCTCAAAACGCCAGTTGATAGTACCGAATGTTTTGCGTAATATTCATATAAAGCGATTTTTGACTTCACTTGAATATATAGGCAGCATCATTAACCAATTCTTCATTTCAGGCTTCGGTTCTTGAGAGTACCCTTCCCCACGTTTAACAGCTCGGTTTGTGTAGTGATGGCATATACCTAACTTCTTTAATTGATCTGCAGTCACTTCTGTTGATTGCAGAATTTAGTATTTTTCTGGTCTCCGACAGTGATAACGTGAAAAAGTGCTAAATACCATCAGTATCGAATTGAATTCATTGCACATAAGAAGTTCCTTCCTCTTTAAAAGATTTGAAATGGCCAGACGAAACTCGTTCACACCATAAACTGTATGGTCACTATAGTAACTACGTGATGTTCCAGTTATTTATGCTATAACCACTACTAAACGTCTAACACTCCATAACCTACAATATATTGGACTCATTCCAGTCACAACAAGCTCTTTACAGGCTCTGAATACATAATTTTAGTTTCCACGTAGCCACCCAAAAAAATGAATAAAACCTATTCCTGACTTTGAATATATGAAATTTCGCCTGTAATTTATTAACAATTAGACAATATTTTCAGGTAACATGAATTGGACCAGATTTTATTTTATGGTCATCGAATGGTCAGATTAAAAACGGGTGGACTGTATGGAATTTCGAACCATTGCTATTGAAGAGGAAAACTGGATGGGAAAACAATGTAACGGAAGCTGATAGAGAATGACCAGAGTGGGGAGATCTATTCACAAGTGGAGCATCATAGGATGAGCAGATTTATCCTAGATAAGAACCCTTGCTATCATGAAGTGAAACTGAATTGTTGGTACGGATGTGCTCAGCGAAGGGAGAAAATGCTTCAAGGGTACAAAAGTGGAACTTTACAAAAGATCTGTCAAGGAAAGCATGAAAATAACAAGCATAACAAATCTGTACAGAAAGTTGGAAACAAATATTGCTATTTTTCCACAGTTCACAAGCAAGAGAACCGAATTTTCCCCATCACCAAAGATCATTTCCATCCTGCCAAACCTCGTCATCTTCTTCCTCGTCCTCTTCGATCATATCCTCTTCTTCTTCAAATGCGTCATCCTCCTGGTCTACGATGTTCCCTTCTAGGCCATCTTTATCCACACTGACAGCAGACTGAGCTACGGCCTCGTGAAGATTGGGGACCTCGCGGACCTCAGGCTGATCGGCGAACCGTACTGCCGGGGTGGACCGCTGCGTCTTTGGTGTTCCGGATTTCGTGTTCGAACTGGTCGGAGCTTCAGACGGCACAGACGCCGTGGCACTTGGACCGGGACCGTCCGCCAAAAGAGTGGCTGCTAACAGAGGGCCGGGAGTAACAGTACCACTTGGATTGGCAGGGATGATTGGTTGAGTGGTCGAGGCACCCACAATAGCTTCCAATGCCTCGTAATTGATTTTGCTGGACATTGGTTTGTCCTCGGATTCCTCGTCCATCGGCTCAAATTTATCGCGTGAGTCGAATTTTCGAGGTGCGCGAGCACGACGTGAACGTTGTGGCTGGGAAAAAGAATGGTAAAGAAAAGAGGACAATACACAGCAAGTAGATAATACTCAAGCTGTGTGATAATCTTGCAAATATTGTCAGAACTGTTCCGGGTGTGCATCGGTGGTAGATTAACTACAGAGCACGGAACAGCAAAAATACACAAGTTAAAGGATTACTATATAGCTTGTTAGATTATCAACGTGAGTGGCGATGATTATGAAGTCGGAATGGGCAACAACAAGCAAAACACCACATAAACAAAGTAGCAAACAATTGAGCACTACGTTAACATTACAAATGGACAACAGTTAACTGGGTCTGCATTAGTCTGTAAGCCAACCAGACTGGCCTCAACTTATCATCGCAACAGTAAACAATAAGAGGTTGCAAAAGAGGTAAAATACAACGGTTTCACGGTGTCATATGACGGCCATGTTTCGAATCATTTACATCTGAATGACCGGTTACACAATCCATCGAGAAGGGATAAAAACACGAATCACGCTCAATGCGAGTCGGTGATGGAGAATAGAAAGTGGTCCATTTACCCAAAAGCATCAAAAACACTCAGAGCAACTAGCTGTGCTGACCAGATACCTTTTTCTTTGGCGGATTTCGGGCTTCTTCTTCCAGCTTTTGTTTCTTAGCCAGTCGTTTCTCTAGAGAGTTGGATGGTGTGTAAAGAGAAGGGAAAACGTAGTTATTTGCAAGGATGATTTATAACTGGAATCTGATTTCATCCGGTCGCATTTCAGTATAAATAATAAGGTTATACTGGGCCAGAAGAACACGCCCGAACAACTGTGGGGAACAGTCGCATTTAAACGTTCAACCTATACAATATTTATAAACTGCTCCGTTCGTCCTTTGGATCAGCGAAGTTCTTCTAGTAACAATACACTTTGGACAATAGAAACACCAGCTGTTAATCGCTATCCGGAACCTAATAGTTCATTGTGTAATCAGTTTTGTTCGATTGGTCCGACATGTCGATCTACCATTTGAGTGAGTGACCAAACAGCTGGTTGCTCGATGGTTCTGTGGCCTGAGGCTCACTCACAAGCACAAACAGAAAGATACAGAACCATACACTTCTCGTCCCATCTAAACTAAGTTACCATACAACTCATTGCATTCGAATCTGGTCACTATAAATAAGCATATTCCAAAGTCGTTCGACAAGAAAAACTGGTGGACTGAGAGATGTGGTTGACTTGACCTAAAAGCATTCAACTTTCTCTTTTATAGGAACTACTTGCTTTCTCGCACATGCAGGGGAGAAGGTAACGAGACAACATGCGAGACGACATTCAGGGGACCACCGGTGCTAAGTATGGATAAAACAATAATAAGCAATAGAAGGGAGAATGCGAGGGAGACATACCGCAATCGGTCAACGAACGGTAAGAAGAATGCACTTACTTCGAGCCGCCTCCAGATAATCTGCATTAGCTTTATACCACACAGCTGCTTTTATCATCACTTCTCGGGGTTGAAGAATGTATTCCTTCAGGAGGAACAAATCATGAGGAGTGTTGAACAGCCCAAATAAGGATAGAGGATGAGAGTAGACGATTCGAAAAAAGAATATCAAGGAGAAAAGTAAGTGAATGGAATTTGGAACGGATTAGTTATACCCAAACAGAGTGAAGAGTTTAGATTATATAGAACACATCTGTAACTCAAGTAAAATCGATTCGAGAAGCATAACACACGAAACGTGGGGAGGAACGGCAATGAAAACGAAAGGAATAAAACCGGTGGGAGAAACGGGATGACCTAGTTCTTGAAAACCAAGAACTTCGAATAGCAGTAACGTGGTTGCAGTTCATCGTTTATTCTAGGAGAATAGCCGGGGGGGGGAGAGGAATGTCACTGCCCGTTCCGGCCATCCAAATCATGAAATGATGACACGGTGAGGCCGTTCATGTGAGCCACAATCAGTCGGTCGGTCCAAGCCGAACTAGATGGCGGGATTCGAACACAACTTTTAACGCACCACTGTAAAATGAAATCAGCTCGAACGAGTCGTGTGAGCGATAACTCACAGCAGAACTGGGCAGTAGTGCTGAGTGTTGCCAACGCAATAGCATACACTTCCACACAAGATCAGGGTTCCAAATTCACGAGAGTAGGTCATTACGACGTGGCAGATATACTGCTATGCAACAGTAAGAAGATACGAACTGTTCATTAGCACGTACATATCAGCACGGGACCGTCGTATTTCAGCAGTCATCAGACGGAAAACAAAAGAGAGACGGCAGTTGGATAGCCTTTAGCCAACCAATCAATTGTGCAAACTGCTGAACTAAGGAAAATAAGTAACGGATGAATGTTAACTGGTATGCTTATTTGAATACCAAATAGATTTTCAACGAGGTTCTATTTGTGTATCGATCAAATCTGAATCCACCGTCACCACCGTCCAATCTGTGAAACTGAAGCTGAGAACCGTCCATACTACAATGCTTCCGACGGCCACATGTGTCAATCAATCTTTATCCCCAAAAGGTGCGTTCGAAAAGGCTCTTGTGTCTATGTACGCGAGTATCGCGCCGATCATTCTAACTAGGCGGGAGGCATAATACTCCGAATTTGTAGAATCAGACTACATGGTGTGAACGTCAGAGGCAAGAGGTGGACTCGGCAGTAAAACCAACTAGGTCTCAGACCTCAACCAAGTTCCACTAACCGTCCATTGTGCTACAGTTGGACACCTTGATTGATACGTCTGGCGCACCGCCATTAAGACCGATCAAATTACTGGACCGCAAGATGGACAGACTGAGTGCGAATCTCTGTACGATCCCTTCAGGTGGATCCCAGAGCCAAGAGGTACGACTGATAGCCATTGAGGGAACCGAAAAGTAAAAGGTGATTGTTATCTAAAACTGTCAAATCTTCGAGTATTTTCTATTATTTTAAATTTTTCGCTCCATTTCGGTTCTTCCTGTTCCCGTTCCTAGCCACTAATCGAGCAATAATGTACTTTTTCATTCTGTCATTTTCGCATGCTTGGACGCGGTCGCATCATTTGTGCGCTCCCGGTTTAAGCGGATTTACTCCGCCATAACACGTCATACAGCGGCGAGTTTACGCTCGTTCGACTCAGCTCTGTGAGATCTATCTAACGATATCTCTCTCTCTGATATAAACCATACCATTCACACCACTGTGCTTTTCCGTGATTTGTAGTAAATATTTTGCTAATACTCACGCGTGCAAAGTTGCTCATTTTCCTTCGAAGTGTCAATATTGTGACACCATTGTGAAGGAAATATTACGCTCCATCCAACAAATCCCAGTTTTAAGCGTGCCGGATATATAGTTGTGCAATTCAGTTTTTGTGCCGTTTGCACTCACACGTGTGTCCATCACACCACGACCAGTTCAGTCGATCGATATTCGCAAGCTGACCTGTGTCCTTGTTCTACTCGTCAGTGAGAATCATCACCACATACGTATGATCGGTCCGAACGTGCACTTTTCGTTGCACTTGACCTTTGTCAACCGCAGTCAGTCTCGTCGTTCACCGTCAATCCGAAATGGGTCGTCGAAGTGTGTCAACTAGTGCCGCTCCGGGGGCCACAACAGGGCCAGCAGCATGCGGTGAATCAAAATGTGGAAAAGAAATCAAGACCGGTATCTCATGCGCAAATTGTGTACGATCTTTTCATCCTTCGTGCGCTAAACTATCGGCAAAACGGATCAAACTATCGGTCTCACTGACAGGCCATCTCTGGTTCTTTGGGGAATGCTCCAAGCTGCCCATTATCAAATGCATTATGGATATCATACATAGATTTGATAATCTATTAGCAGCCGTCGAGGACAGGGCAAAATTACAA